GTCCAAAACACATTTATTAAAAAGAGGATATAGAACAAAACCTTTTTTTTTTTTTAAGCTTTCTACCATGTTATAACATCCGCTCATTAAACACTGAAGAGGTTTTAGATGTGAACCATGCACGTTTGAGTCATTTAGCGATCTCTCCCAGGCCCAATTTGAAGGCTTATTGCAGTTACAAAACTGTACCCAACAACTTCACAAACCTGATGTGCATTTGTTTCATTAGCGGGATGATTCTTTGGTGATGACACTCTTAAGGGGGAGTGACTTAGCATGGGGAGCAAATGGAGGGGAGACTCAAGATGGCAAAGACAAAAGTGAAACTTAGAAATATTATATGTTAATAGTTTGTTATTGTTGAATATAGCATTTTTAAAGCAATAAAAGGTAACATGATCATCTAAATTGATAGATAGATAGATAGATTTGATCAATTTAAATATGTAAAAAATATGTTATGTGCAGTTAATCCCCTATATACAGTAAGTGTAAGACCTCCTCTTTAAAGATACACTGTGTAATATTTCTGATACCGTGTTCGCCACCTGATCTCTGCGTTCAGATATGATTTCTTTGCCTGGAATATCTCAAAATATGTCATTAAATGTATTTTTCTTGTGTTTGTTCAATTACAAAACATGCATTCTTTACTCTGCTCAGACTCGCCTCTCCGCAGATCTAACTAGGACTTGGCTTATTTGCTTGTCTTCATTTATATACACATGTTTAAGTTCCTATACTGTGGAATATTGTGGAATAGTTTTGTGACCATACCGACTTGTCAAAGCCTGATCCTGTCAAATCTCTGAAGCTCAGCAAGACCGGGTTTAGTTAGTACTTGGATGGGAGACCGCTGGGAAAATCAGGTGCCACTGGGAGCGCCAGTCGCAAAAACTGTTGTTGTGTCCTTAGGCAAGTCACTTCACCCGCATTGCCTAGTATGAAAGTGATGTGTGTTTGTGAGTATTGGTTGGAGGGGCTGATAGCGCAGATTGGCAGCCTCGCTTCTGTCAGTATGGAGTGAATGAATAATGCTCTGTAAAGCGTCTTTGAGGGTCCCAAAAGCGCTATATAAAACTGTATTGTTATTATTATTATTATTATTATTATTATTATTATTCAGGACAAAGCAATGACATATCCAGGGTAGGGTTGTCTAAAGTATTGGAAATCAGATACTAACTGATGCTAAAAATTTAAATTAGTAATAAATGCTCGATTCTAAAAAAGTCACATTCACCTTGGACCACTATGGAACCGGTAACACTTTATAATAACTACACCTTATTTAGCCTTAATAAAGCATGAACAAAGACTTAATAATGAACAAGACTTAATTAATAATGATTCATGTTTAGTAACTACTTAATTACTACCTGAATTAGCACTTAACTTGAACTTAATTCGCCTGTGCTGTAAATAGTTACTCATAAGTATTTCTTACTTAATTACTCACGAACTAATCATTTGTGTGTGTATTTGTAAATGTATATTTAAGTACAAATTTGAGTATTTATTAATGATTAGTAAGCCAGGAGAGAATGATTTACTAGTAATGCATTATTGTTTCTCTGGAATTTGATCAACCTTAACAAATGCTTAATAAAGCATAATTATCCTTCACTTTAGAAAAGCTCTCAGAAAGACTTAACTAACAGATAACAGCTGCCTGAATGATCATTGCATTGCATTATTAGTAAATAATTATCTCATAACTTACTAATCATTAATAGATGCTCAAATGTGAACTTAAATATGCATTTGTAAATATGAAAATGGTTAGTTCATGAGTAGTGAAGAAGAATTGAGTTACTATTTAAAGCACAGGCAAATTAAGTTCAAGTTAAGTGCTAATTCAGGTAGTAATTAAGTAGTTACTAAGTGTGAATCATTATTAATTAAGTCTTTGTTCATGCTTTATTAAGGCTAAATAAGGTGTAGCTATTATAAAGTGTTATCATGGAACCTACCTGGACCACTGAGGGATTGCACAGATATAAGGCCACGTGGCAAAATTACTGCTAAAAATGTCATTCTATTGTCCTAAAAATTAATTCTGATATTGGAATTGGTATTGAGTAGTGTCAAACTGGCAGTGTCAAACTAGCATTGCAGTGTATAATCAGGTTTGGCTATTGGCACACTAATGGCTTATTTTGGCCCACTGAGAAAAAAGCAGTTGTGGTATTGAATTTGCATGTTCTCTTTGTTCTCTTGGTGCCCTGATTTCACCTACTGCTAAATGACCGGTCAATCGCCTCCGGGGCCTCTGCCAATAAGACTCTCTGTCTTACTCTGCTTTGCCTGGTTAGATACAGTCCAAAATACAGATAATGTGACGCGTTTCAAATGACCTATGAGAAAAAAACAGAAGCATTTGTTTGTTCAGAACGGGTTGCAACAGTAACATCTGCTGTTGTTCAATTTCTTTCTCTTGTTCTCTGCACATCTGTCAGTTAGATTGGTATTTTCATCCAAATTCAGTTGTGAATTTCTTCTTCTTGAGACATCCTTAAACATGTACTGTGTAACTTTTCTCGTGAAGGGTCTGTTAAACACTTTTCTCGTGGAGATGTCATTATTTCAGATTGCATTAAACAGATCTACCTTACATTTATTCAATTGCAGGTGGTTTATTGCTCAAAAATACCTAGAAAAAAGGTATTCTGACTGTGAGCGGGGTCGCCTCTAGACAGATCTGACCTGTAACTTGGTTTGAATTGGTCTCTATGAAGACAGAAATGATTAATGATTAATTCATTTGACGAACCCTCCACCAAAAAATTTAAATGTGTATTTTGTAACTCATCCTGGAAAGTAAAAAAAAAAAGAAAAACAAGATGCTTTCTAAAGTAAACATTTGTACTAGTACTAGGGTTGCCAAAAGTATCAAAAGTCAAATACTAGCGATTTAACAATAAACGAAATATCGTGATATCGTATCATCAAAGTTGTCACAATAATATCGACCATCACAATATATCGAATTACAAGTCTCTTTGCTGAAACAAAGCGTTATGGTGCAACAATAACTAAAAAAAAAAAAAAGACAGAGGGAACTACAAAGACCATGATCCTTTGCTCCATTTCAGTGCAGACTACAAAAAGAAATAACAGTTCTAAGCACTTTTAAGTCTTTAAGTTTTGTTAGCCTCCACTAAATATCGCAATAAATATCGTACCATGAGATGTATATCATGAAAATATTGTATCGAGATTTGGATATTGTTACATTCCTGATCGTGAGCCTCCCCACCATATCGTGAGCTTTCCCATGATATCGCAATAAATACCATACCGTAATGATATCGTATCGTGAGACTTGGATATCGTTACACCCCTATCAAATACTAATCGATACTAAAACTAGTATTGAAACCTTAGTATCGAAACTGTATATTGATCAATCACAATGTTGTCTTACTGAAAACTACTAAACCTACTTACTGAAATCTAATGAAATGACTTCCGATATTTATTTCTTGAAGATAAACATTTGACTTTTAACCACTGCCAATTAACACAAAGTAAAATTTCCTCCTTCAAAGTCTGAACTCTGCCCCAAATCACATGCTTTTACTGAAGACTGGTGCTGGACATCTTGATTAAAAGCAACCCAAACTGATCATTACCAATTAGAAATGACTGAAACTCGATCTTGATTAAAATGTGATGAATTGCACAGCCCTACTTGGAGTTAAAGATTTTAATCACCAGTTATTATAATTATGAATGGTAGATTTTATGTGGTTGATGAGATTAAAGTGGTGGTGGGAGAAGTTACATAAAGGTGTATTGTGTAGCTTTACTGGTGGAGGGTTCATCAAATGATTTTCGTCATGGAGATGTTATTGCTTTGTCTGGAATCTTCATGGAGACTAAACCAGACAAAGTTACAGGTCAGATCTGTGGAGAGGTAACCCCGCTCACAGTCAAAATGCCTGTTTTTCTTTGTATTTTTGATCTATAAAACCACCTGTAATTGAATAAATGTAAGGTAGAAACACCGAAAACATACATAATGCACCTTTAAATAAACATTCAGATAAACATAAACATAAAAAAAAAAACTTCAATATTCAATGTACATATATAAAAGTACTGAATAAAATAACTTAACGAGTAAAAAATAAAAAATTGACCAATAAAACATGTCAAATGCAGCAATTTTGATAGAGACACATGCAGATTTATATATATATATATATATATATATATATATATATATATATATATATATATATATATATATATATATATATATATATATATAAAAGAAATCTGCATGTGTCTCTACTTCAATTGAAATTCATTTCAATTCAAATAGATTTTTTTTTTTATTTCCCCAGATATTTTTTGTATATTTTTGTTTCCTCAAACAGAAATCGTGCTAAAAATGAACAAATACTTTTCAGTCCTGTGCAGTGGAGTAGAAAGTATAGATAAGCATCACTCTAAAATGTACTTAGTAGAAGTACCTAAAAATTGTACAGTACTCTTACTTTTGTTCTTCATTAACTTTCACCGCTGGCCATTGTGTTTGTATCTTGAATAGACAGTGGGAGGTAAATGTGTGTATGCCCTGTATAGTGACCTTGAGTGTAGTGCTTTGATGGTTGATGCTGAAATCTGCATTATTTTTATGCCTTTTTAACTTTTTGATTTCAAGGCATTTGTTTTAATCTGAACAGACCACGCTCTGATTGCTTCATCTGCTTGTCAATCACTCTTATGTAAAATCAGGGTAAGAGGATACTGTACCAGACCCACTTATATTTGTCAAGTTTTGTCAAAGCATGTGGTTTTGACTGGCGAGGCAAGATAAACGGACCAATCAAAATAACACATCTACTATTACTTACAAGGTCACATCAGATAGACAGACAGACAGCTAGATAGATAGACTTTATTTGCCCTGTGGGGGAATTGATTTGCAGTAAATTCACGTGGCTGGCTTTATTTTCCGTCAGCTTGAAACTGACCCTTGCTTCTCCCAGGTGACCTCCGGGATGGTGTCCAGCGAGGCGGGGGGACACAGTTACCTGGTGTCCTGCTGGCAGCCCATCCTGATCCTGATGCTGGGCACGGTGTTGTCGGGTTCCACCACCGGCTGCCCCTCGCGATGTGACTGTAGCGGCCAGGAGCGCTCCGTGGTCTGTAACCGCCGCAGACTGGCCGCTCTCCCTGAGGGCATCCCCACCGAGATCCGCCTCCTGGACCTCAGCAAGAACCGGCTCAAGGTGCTGGGGCCGGAGGAGTTCCTCAACTACCCTGGGCTGGAGGAGCTGCAGCTGAACGAGAACATCATCTCCTCCATCGAGCCAGGAGCCTTCAGCAACCTGCTCAACCTGAGGACATTGGGGCTGAGGGACAACCAGCTGAAGCTCATCCAGCTGGGAGTGTTCACTGGCCTGACCAACCTGACGCAGTTGGACATCAGTGAGAATAAGATCGTCATCCTCTTGGACTACATGTTCCAGGATCTGTACAACCTGAGGGAGCTGGAGGTGGGGAACGATGACCTGGTCTTCATCTCCCCTCGCTCCTTCCATGGCCTCAGCAGCCTGGAGAGTCTGGGCATTGAAGGACGCAGTTTGTCGGCCGTGCCCACTGATGCTCTGAGCCATCTGCATAACCTGCTGTCACTGCGTCTACGTTTTTTCAACGTCTCACTGCTCCGGGATTACTCCTTCAAAAGGCTGTACCGACTGCGCGTGCTGCAGATCTCCGACATGCCTGTTCTGGATACTATGACCTCCAAATGTTTGTTTGGCCTCAACCTCACCTCTCTGTCAGTCACAAACTGTAATCTGTCAGCTATTCCGTACGAAGCCATCAGCCACCTGAGGCATCTGCGATTTCTCAATCTCTCCTTCAATCCCATTCACAGCGTGGAAGGGCACCACTTGCACAATCTGCAGAAGCTCCAAGCCTTCCATTTGGCCGGTGGGAGGTTAACCACGATCGAGCCCTACTCATTCCGTGGGCTCAACCACTTGCGTGTGCTAAATGTGTCCAGTAACAGCCTGAGCTCTCTGGAGGAGTCCGTGTTTCACTCAGTGGGGAACCTAGAGACTCTGGCCCTGTATGACAACCCTCTGGCCTGCGACTGCCGCCTGCTCTGGGTATTCCGACGGAGGTGGAGGCTAAACTTTAACAAGTACCAGCCCAGGTGCGCCTCCCCCGATATAGTTCAAGGAAAGGAGTTCAAGGACTTCCCGGATGTGCTGCCAACGGCTTACTTTACCTGTGAGAAATCTAAGATTGTGGATTATAAAATTCAGGAGAGCCATGTGGATGAGGGCACTACAGTGCACTTTCCATGCCCAGCAGAGGGAGACCCTGCTCCTACCATCATGTGGCTGTCTCCTAAAAAGGATTACATCACCACCAAAACAGTGGGCTCCAGGCTGTCTGTGTCCGCTGATGGCACTCTGGAGGTGAGATATGCTCAGATCCAGGACAATGGCACATACACGTGCATCGCCAGTAACGCAGCAGGCAATGACAGTAAAGCCGCGCACCTCTTTGTGCACAGCTACTCCCCCAACTGGCCCCATCAGCCCAACAAGACCTTTGCCTTCATCTCCAACCAGCCCAGCGAGGAGGGGGGCAATGTGACCCGCGCCTCCCTCCCCTTCCCCTTCGACATGAAGACCTTGATCATCGCCACCACCATGGGCTTCATCTCCTTCCTGGGCGTGGTGCTCTTCTGCCTGGTCATCCTGTTCCTCTGGAGCAGGGGCAAGGACAACCCAAAGCCCAGTATAGAGGTGGAGTATGTGCCCAAAGAGGAGGGCGAGGAGACCAGCCCCACTGAGCCCCCTGTGCAGTTTAACATGAAGATCATGTGAGAAACAGACTGTGGAACACTCAAGTCCAGAGTACTCATCATGAGCTCCAAATGAAGGTTTATTTTTACTTCAGGGACTGAATATTTACTATGAAATGTCTCATTTCTATCTCTGATTTGTGTAAATCTGCATTGGTAATGTCCTCAGTCTGTAAACATGCATTCCCCAGTCACAGCAAAGGACTGATCCCACACACAGTTTACACTACACTCATATTCTGAATATTTCAGAGCAGTCTTGGCCTTTTATTGGTGGATTTTAAAAGCACAAAATAATGATAAGACAAGAGCAAAGGACATCTGCTGAGACTGTGTGAGGACAGAAGGAGAGGCTGATTTTAAACTCTTGGTTTTATCAGTTCACTTTACTCCTGTTCAAACTCTTTGTGTGATGTATGAGTAGTGGGGGGTCAGTGTGGGGGCGGGGCTTCGCCTGCAGTGTAGAGCATCTGACACTCTGACCCGGGATCAGCTCCTGGTCGGGACTGCCTCTGTTCTTTGTAATGACTGCTATAAATATTTTCTGTATCCTATCTCTGTGTACATTATGCTATGACCTAATGGACATGACCTAATGGCTGTTACCGGCTCTGGGGTGAACATATTCTAACGAGCAGAAAGCAATTACTATAATCATAACTCACGCGGCCAACAGAGGGCTCCTTCCCCGCCAGCCCGCCGCAGTAATTCTCCCTCTCACAAATCCATTTTATTATGACGTATATTAGAGGAGATTTATTCGCTCAAGTGCTAAGGTTTACAGTCAGTGATCATATTCAAACCTTATTAATTTGTTGCCTTATGTAAGTCACGTGGCCGCATTAGACTGAGCAATGCCCACTATTACCGTCTTTCTATTGGAGCGTCAAACGAGCTTTAAGCCTCATAAGGATTTTTCTGTTGCCTAATTAATTTCACAGTGAAGTCTGCTCGAATATTGCAGCGTTCATTACGTCTCCGGCTTGTTCCTGAGGGGTGGGCAGATGGAAGTTGTATAAAAATAAATGACTTTTTCTACGACTCAGTGTGGACTTGGTTATTTTGTCACTTTGTCATTAGAGGAGCTTGTGTGATGGATGTTGGATGTACATCTAGCGCTATATCAGTGAGGGTGCTATGCAAGAAGCTCCATTTCAACATTTCAACGTAATACTGAACAACGGAACTGTTCAAAATACATATCCTTTCCCCAAATTATACCTATTAAGGGGCCCATACTATGTTATTTTCTGATCTGTGTTGAAATGTTGTTTCCTCGTCACAAACATACCCGGAGTTGTGTTTTGTTTTGTATTTGCATGCTGAGTTTTTCTCTCCAACAGAAAACACTCTGTTCCACCTTGTGATGTCCATGTAGTAATACAGGAAGTGCTCCACTGTGTTTTTAAACTCCAGGCACCTTCACTAGAATCATTTAGATAGTTTCACCCTTTGAACTGCCAATCTCTACTGAACTACAACTAAAAAAGGTAGCTGTTAATGTGAAAATTATCACGCCATGACATTACAAGGTGGAACAGAGCATTTTGAGCTTTGGAGACTAAAGAAAGGACTAAATAAAACAGGGGTGTCAAACATACGGCCCGGGAGCCGGATCTGACCCTCCAACACCTTTAATCTGGTCCTCGGCTGATTTTCTACTAAAACATTTAAATTATATTTTCTATTAAAATATTGGTAATTTTCTGTTCCACTGAGCATAGCAGCATCTCCAGCGTCTCTGTACGTGGCCCCTCCCACCAGAGCAGCACAAATGAAGACTTGTCTCTTTCCAAACGCTCTTAAAGGACGATCGTTTTGACTGTTGACCGTGACACCCTCATCAGAAAAATGTTAAAAATGAGAAAAGTGGAGCGAGTGCAGGATTTTCCAAGAAAAATTGACTTATTCCTATTTGTATACAAGTTATTGTTAAAACATTGTGTTGAAATTGCATTTTTCTTAAAGTTTCAGGTTGTTCATAATATTATAATATTTAGTAAAATAAAGAGTTCATCAATTAAAAAAAAAAAAAAAAAAGATTTCTGTATAGATTTGCGTTTCTCTGGACAAATATTTGAACTTATTGATATTTTGAGGGTATATTTGCCATGAGTTTTCTGATCCAGTCCCTTTGGGATCAAAGTTGGTTGGATATGGCCCCCTAACCAAAATGAGTTTGACACCCCTGAAATAAAGGGTTACTCAAACATGTGTGAAAGACACAAAACACAACTCAGGGTATTGAGAAGAAGTAAATGGTAATTAGAGCACTCGCTGGATCACTGCCGAAGTAAAATAATAAGAGATCAGGTGCTCTTCGGAGATCCCAAGTGGGCAAATTACTTACTGGATGACAAAAGGAGATCCGAGGCACTCCGATATGCTTTGCTATGATTTTATTTCATGTCAAACGCCCAACGCATTTCGACTTATGTCTTCATCAGGGAACGTGAACTCAGGGTATGATTTTGGGGAGGTGGCAGCATTAAAACATGGCTAAAGGCAGACACGAGTGAGGTTTATGTAATATAGAACCTTTAAAATAATTAATCTTACTACTTAAAGCTGGGGTACCTGATTTCCAAACCGTAACAAGTGATCTATGCATTTAAATCTACTGTATCTAAGAACTAGCCAGGCCACCTAGTGCCTCCTCTCAATTCATTTCTCTCCAGTGACTAGATCAGGAATTTGGAATACACTAGACTGTTTGCAAGAACCCCGGAAGTTGTAGACTGTGAAGCCATGACGTCAAACTCAAGCAACTGTCTGGGTCCCTTTTGTGGAACAGCACAACAGTAAACAAAGCGTCGAGATGGATGTAGACAAAGCCATACATTCTGTGTTGGCAACGATTCCCGAGATCGAGGATTTAAAGCTGAAACAAAGAGAATGTTTATTGAATTTTATCAAGGGGAAAGACGTTATTGCCCTTCTTCCTTTGGGATTTGGCACATTACATACATACAGTAAATAAGACAGTTTCCATGAAGCAAAACTGGCTGATATATCAGGCTATCTAACAACTGCCTTGCTCTCACAAACCTCTTGGCACATCACTACTATTCATATGCAAAAATGATTTGGCTACTAGCACAGCTTTAGAACAGCTTTTTCAGATACAAAGTGAAGCAGAATGGACCACCCATGGACAGTCAATCAGCTCTCATCTCAAAACATCATATACTGACTCACATGGCTCTTAGATCAAGATTGATAAATGCAATGTTTTCTAATTAGATGAAGACAGCCTGCTTTTACCAAACACTTTCCGGCTTGAAAAACAGAATTGAATTGAATCTTTATGGGAAAAAAGTTGGGTACTTCAGCTGTAAGTGCAGATGTCAGGTTAGGCTACTCAGTTCACACAGAGTTAGTGAACTGAGTAGAGGTCCATTGTGTAACGTTTCAGGTTGAGGGTCCATCAAATGCTTTTCTCCAGGGAGATGTTATTACTTGATCTGGAATGTGTCACAGTTCTATCTTCATGGAGACCAAACCAGACTAAGTTACAGGTCAGATCGGTGGAGAGGCGACCCCGCTCACAGTCAGAATCCTTGTTTTTCTAGGTATTTATGAGCTCTAAACAATCTGTAACTGAACAAATGTAATGTAGAGCTGTTTAAAGTCATACTGTGGAACATTTCAGGCAAAGAAAATACATATCCATAGAAACAAGCAGGTGATGGCCCCCCTACCACAAAGTTACCCACTGCACTTCTTCCGTAGCTGGAGAAGATTAACTGAAGAGAAGATTTACTTCCCACGGTGTCGGCGGCAAGATGGAGCATTTGAGGGCCGTGCGCCCCCTTGCGGCCACTGGTGCCCCACCCCCAGCACAGGTCGTTATTTTTACTATTTTAAAATGATTTTGATTGGCGCATTTCACTTCGGGCTGAGGGCACAAACTTTACTGTGACATCAATGACATCACAGTCTCTGTTTATTTAGTGTAGTGTGATTGGACAACTGTTCTGTCACTCACGTCACGTCACGTCAACCTGCTGCGTCAACTCGTAGCAGCTTCACGATTAGTGGCAGCTGCTACTTTAGCCTAAAGCTCCACACAGGAAATGGCGAGGACAGAGTCAAAGACACACTGACAGACCCGCCGCCGGGACCCGGGGCTGTCGCTACCGCTGCTGGGGCCGGGACATTCTCTGCCGGGACTGGGGCAGTCGCCACCGGGCCGGGGCTCTCGCTGCCGCCGCCGGGGCCAGGGCAGTCGCTCGCTGCTCTATCCGCCTTTGCCCGCTCGTTTCTGGGTGTAAAAGTTTGACGTGAGCATAGCGCGCAGAGGCATAATTCTACCTGGTGTCCTGGTGCTGATATGGACTGACCGTAACTTTCAGATTTAAGTGGGAAGTGGGATTAAGACTCATTTTACAACCACTCGTGCACTCGGCTCCTGGACCTTGCGTCACGGACCAGACTGGACCAGGATTTGGACCAGTTTCATCTCTTCATATTGGACAATAGACTTTTGGAGACAGAACCAGTGGGACAGTGGATAGAAGAAACACTCTGCTTCAGTCTCTGGAGAAGGTAAGAGGCTGGTTTTCATTAGTTTGCGGCAAATCTGAACATGAAGCCTCACAGGTAAATAGTGTTATAGTGTTATAGTTAAATAGTGTTATAGTTAAATAGTGTTATAGTGTTAATAGTTAAATAGTGTTATAGTGTTAATAGTTAAATAGTGTTATAGTGTTAATAGTTAAATAGTGTTATAGTGTTAATAGTTAAATAGTGTTATAGTGTTAATAGTTAAATAGTGTTATAGTGTTAATAGTTAAATAGTGTTATAGTGTTAATAGTTAAATAGTGCGTAAATGAGCTCGCGGGTGCGATGGAGCTGCTCTGGTTGTTCTGCCGTGTGCTGTAGGATTTGTGTTCATGTTGTGATCGTAGCCTCTTATTGTAGTTTTGCTGACGTTGTTGGGTCTGGGTGTGAGCGGTGTGTTACGTTGTGTTGTTGTGTAAAGTTTGCGCTTGGCTGTTCATTGTGCTCTGATCGATATTGGTTCAGTCAATAGTAACCAAAATGTCTGTTTCTGGTATTTATTATAATACTATAGACTAGATATATAATACATATATTATTCATAATATATATTATTATTTTGGCCTTGGTGCCCCTCCCAAAAATTATACCACCAGCCGCCACTGGTCCTGTTTTAGTCCTGGTTTAGTCCTGGTTTAGTCCCGGTCCCTCAAGTCTCAGGTCTCTACAGGACAGGACTGGACGTCGTACCCTCGTGTACCACGCCCACTACAGCCCTGGTGCTGCCCGGTGCGTGGCTGTTTCTTGCCCGGTTGCTTCTTTCAGTGATGTTGTTCAGGGCTGTTTTTGACGAGAGGCTGTTGTTTAATGTTTACAACCAGTGGCCTTATTGTTTTTTTAAAATAAATTTCCTTTTATTATTGTCTTGTGTGCGTATCGTCTACCACTCAACCTCAACAACTATGGTAGCTAATAAAAATAATTCTAATAAAATAATGATAATAATAACAACAACAACACATGATTAGCCTAATACTGTTAAGGAAAAACGTGCTTGATAGCATTTCTGCTGTGTATGACTCCACCGCGTTAAAATATTTCTCAAATGGCAGTGCCCCCCCTGCTGGTGACCCACGCCCCTCCAGTAGATGTGCTCTGACGCCGACTCTGACTTCCCATTTGGACACCGGTAGCATATAAAGGTTATTCCATCGCTGTTACCTATAGCAACAGGAATGTTAACAAGGGCCAAAGCGCATATACAGTTGACTAGTTATTATCTGGCAAATATAAATACACAGCAGCTCCTTTGTATCCTTAAATGAATGTGTAAAGTGCCAGAGAAATGCCTTTCTTGCACATAAATTGTCACTGCATTACCACTATGCTTCCTGTATTTTTGTGCTTTTTTCTCCACTTTTTCAGCCCCATACATGGCCACTTAAAGGTGCACTGTGAAACTTTTCTGGTGGATGGTTCGCCATTTGCTTGTCTCCATGGAGATGTTATTGCCTTGCCTAGAATGTTTCATGGTACA